ATAATCAACCTCCTCACTATAAATTATCCCTAAACTTATTCTGTCTACTCAGCGTCCTCCACCGTGGTGTTGGGGTTCATAATGTTCACAATTGTATTTTATTAGTTGTTGGTTTAAACCATGGTTCATGAGGTAATGGATGACTGCTATTTTCTTTTCAATGACTTTTCTTGTTTACATGTTCATTGCTGGATTTAATAGAAAAACATCAACCAATATTGCATATACATAATTATTATAATGGATATAATTAAAGAATCCATACACTATAAAGTATTTTTAAAGATTTTTATGCCTATTTTGAATTTTACTCGAATACAATACAAATACAAATACTTTTCCTCCCTGAACAAAACAGATACAAATACCGGCTGCTTTGCACACCCCTACTTTGCATTTACACTCGCACTTTACAGATTTAGTGCACAGATACTTTCACTTTACAGCATTGTATTGTATTGTTTTGTTCCGTCCATTGCTATGGTTTGTCATCATTGTCAACGCGTATTTAAATATGGTTGTCAATCCAGAAACTTTGCAATGTAGCACGTGAAAAATACATAGTAGCCTAATATATACAGAAAGCGAGCAAAGATTGCAGCCATTATAATCACAGAAGTTGTCAATTGTAATGTGAGGTACAAAAAGATGCACTCTATAAATCAATTAAGCGTTTACATCTCTTATTGACATCATGTTTACTTTGTTGGTTTTAATGCATGCAGCTCAATGAACAAAAACTGCCCTGTTCTGCAGTGTTGAGCGAATGCTAATTAACTTTAGAATTGCCATTGCGTTTAACTTAAAATGTCAATGTCCTTGAAGGTGCTGCTCATAAAGTGTATGGTGGACATGATCTGTGTGAAGTTTTTCAGATTATATCCAGGCACCTTGAAGTGTCTGACTGGGATAAATCGTGCCAGAAGGGGAAATGAAAGCAAGGGAGCCATCAATGGCTCATCGCTGTTTCGTGCACCTTCACCTTGGTTGAGATTTGAGGCTAAAAAGCACGTTAAAGGAAAGCCACTGCAACGGTGGGTTGTCGAGGTCTTCTACTGACGGCAAGATCATCACTGCAATCAGTGACTGTTACTAGAGCAAAACCACAGCTGTCAAATGCCACATGAAGCAGGGTTTGCACTAAATGAAATCGATTTAAACAACCTTCCCTTGCTTTGGGTTCGCAAGCACTGAAAACAATGGTAGGACTTTTCAGAGCTGGGCATTTCTGTTCCTGGAAGAGCGGATTGTTTTGATGCATGCGTGTGAGTTACTCTGACACAAGACAAGAGAATGTCAGACGTGTTGTGGTTTGTTGTGTGGGCTGGAGAAGTTCTGAAGGCTGTTCTCTGTATTAAGAGTGAATTTAACTCTCTGTGCGCCAAACGTTTCTCCTCCCACTCACGACGCTCACACACGGACCAACACTCATGCACAGACACACACGGCCCCTTGTTGTCTCTTGCCGAATGTTGTGATGGATGCCATGGGAGGTGAAGTTTTGGTTCAGATGAATAGTCCAGGCTGGTTGCTAAGGCTTGAGGCTTTTAATAGAATCCTCCTTCGATGAAAAACAACTTAAAGTAATGGAGGGAATTATGGAAATGTGATTCATAGGCTGGATCTGGAAGAGGCGATAAGAAAATAGCCTCTTTGATGCGACCTCTCTGAGCACCGGTCACCTGTGATGATGTATTTACAAACCAGAAGCTTGGTTTTATAGTAAGCGATTCAAGCGGATTTCAAAGATTCACAAACTTACTCTACACAAGCAGTGGTGGAGGAAGTACTGAATCTCTGTACTTAAGTAAAAGTACAAATAACCAGATAAATATATTACTTCAGTAAAAGTAGAAGTAACACAATGACAACCGTACTTAAGTAAAAAGTACCTGATTTTAAATGTATTTTAAGTATTAAAAGTAAAAGTACTTGTATAATGGCCATTGCACACTGAGTACGAAATTTTCGTATGCGTATTTTCGTGTTCGTCAGCCTAAAATTTCGTCACGCATAGAAACCTTGCACACCGAGTCCGTTGCGTATTTATTAAACCTTTGCGGGAAAAAACGCAAAAATACCAAATGGATTCGTCAAGCAGTGAGGATGATTTGCCCTCTCTCTTATTGAAAAGAGAAGAAAGAGAAAATATTACGTCCATCCAATCCTGAAATTGCGCCGAGAGGAAGGAGAGTTCCTTTTCAAGGAATTGCAAATATCCTGAGCGATTCAAAATTTACCTCAGAATGTCAGTGGGACAGTTTGATGCTTTGCTAGCGATTCTGGAGCCACATATTAATAACAAGACCACCAATTCTCATGAACCAATCGATTCTGAACGGAGACTGTCTGGTATGGACCAGGTATGGACACACACACCGCGCGCGGCCCGGTGGAAGCGCTGGGCAGACAGAACAGCTAGGCTGTTATTGTGTATATATTGTGCCCAAATAATACATTAATTATCGAATAGGCTGCTCAATCACACCTTATTTGATCCTAAATTTCAATCTGATTGAAAGGGAGGTTTATTAATTTCATAATCCAATATAGAGAAGAGAACATAAACACTTGATCGAATTGAAAACCGAAACTGAAAGCACGGCGCATATGTGCAATGATTTGAGGACGAGCTCCCCCCGGCCCTGAATTGTCAAAAGACCTCTCAAAATGCTGGCTCTGGATGCGAAAAACGCAGAAAATCGAACCCGATCCGATTAATTTTATGACGGACGAAAGTTTCGGAGGCGGTGTGCAAGCGTGACTGACATAACGTGAGGTCGAATTTTTTTTTTTAACGTGCGAAAATTTCGGATGCGAATTTCGGACTCGGTGTGCAATGGCCTTAACAATTTATTCTCTTATGTCTATTTTCTAATTATTAATAAAACATTTAATTCTAGCTCATTCAACTTAATACTCCTATAATGATGGGAAAAATGATGGGAAAATTTTTTTGTCACCATTTCTGAAACAAGCTTGCAATTAGGCAATATACACATCATGCTTATCCTTACTATATGTTAATAACTATTTTTTTGGCATTAAACGCGATTCATTTATGGTGTAATTCTGAACCTCTTGGCTTGCCATAATCCTAACCAAACGTATATTACACACGGTGCGTTTCCTATGCACGTAAAAAACATTTTCGGGTATAAATTGTACGATAAACACACTGCGTGCGAGACGCATTTTATTTAGTGTAACGGGTTGATGGAAAATGTAACAGAAGTTGTAGAAATGTAGTGGAGTAGAAAGTATAATAATTGCTGCAAAATGTAACGAAGTAAAAGTAAAAAGTATGCACTATTTATTCTACTTAAGTAAAGATACGTGAAAAATGTACTTAAGTAAAGTAATAAAGTATTTGTACTTCGTTACGTTCCACCACTGTACACAAGCAACTGGTTCTTCCTATGAAGTACCCAATGTACCAATCCGATGCCTTTGTTTTCAAAGTGGTCTATTTTGAATAGATAAAAAATGAGGAAAATTGTATTACTGTAATCAAAATGAAATGACCCAGACATTCATTGTTTTGATTTTGAAAGCTCTTGTCATTTTGGTGCAGCATGCATCAGACTGTCCGTAGGCGTGCCGTCTGAGGCTAAAAACAATACAGTATCGACTTGAGAATGAGATTAAGCATAATTGAAGTGGTGTGTTAACAGTAGATTACATCCCCCTCCTGTAGATCCTCTATTGCTTCCTGCCAGCTGAAACAAACGGATGAATTATTCCTCGCTTTAATTTTTATTATTGCTCTTTAAAGGATCAATGGATTAAGTAGAACGTTGGTTCTGAGTCTTGGTTACTCCAGGGC